TCCCTTCATTGCAGTTCCCTGATGACCCAGTTTTAGAGTAATAAGGAATAAAAAAGATAACAATTTTAAAGTACTAAGTTCAATAAATTGAGTTCATAAGAGGAAGTTACTCACCTTGTGCAGTAATGATGGTTCTTCGAGATGTGTGTCCCTATGGATGCTCCACTGTAGGCGTCTGTGTGCCCCTGTGCCTCTAATCGGAGATTTTTGGTAGCAGTGTCCCATTGAGCCCGTGCATGTGCCCTCCCTCCCTCGTGATCTGCCTCGAGGCTATTTAGCACTGCACGGGCGAACCCCACTCACTTCTTTCTCTACCACAGAGCCCTGTAGAGCAGTGGTTCTCAAAGCTGGTCCGCCGCTTGCTCAGGGAAAGTCCCTGATGGGCCGGACCAGTTTGTTTACCTGCCACATCCGCAGGTTCGACCGATTGCGGCTCCCACTGGCCACGGTTCGCCGCTCCAGGCCAATGGGGGCTGTGAGAAGGGGAGCTAGAAATGTAGGTTCAGGGCTAGAAATCAATCTCCTTGCTTTAGAGCTGGTCCTAATTTCTGTGAAGTAGGGCAAGGTGACTTCTGAGAGGCGTGACAGGTGTATAGATGGCAGCTGATGCTGTAAGGTATCATTATTCAGGCCCTCGACCAGCTCATTCAAGTGCTTATAAGAGGCAGTTTGAGATGTCACAGACTGGAGTGCAGACTGTTCCTATTTTTGAGCCCTGGTCCTCTTACACTGTGGCTCATAACAGCACTGAGATGGTGCGTATTGAGAAGATTGTGACCTGTGGTGCAGTTGAGAGGTATATCTTCTCTTCTGTCCCACCATGTAGATTCCTAAGGAGTGTAACGTGGTCTGAGAATCCTTCAGGATGTGGAAAGAAAATCTGTCTTCTCTGCAGAGAGTTTGGCCCTTCAAACTGGAATTCTGTAGCTCTTTGGGCGATATAGAGAGGAGTAGCCAACACAAAAAAAAAACACCACAACCCGCCTCAGTACCACTGGCATGGAGACTGGGTGGGCAGCTGTAACAGCTACATCCAGTGCTGTCTCTAAGACCAGTCTGACTACTAACTGACCATCTCTAAGAATAGCCTGAATCTGTTCTTTTTTTGTTTCCAGTAATGTTCTGGAAACACACTAGGTTTCCCATAATTAATAAAATTTCATTTGGCCATGTCAGTTTGGTAATTTATGACTCTAAACTGTAATCTTGTTGACGAATATGCCATCTTGCCAAGCCTGATCGTATGGAGTTGACTTGGCATTATGTTGCTTGCTTCATGCATTAACCACATCCACTATGATGGAGTTGGGTTGCAGATGTTGAAAACAAAGTCTGCCTCTTTGGGTAGAGATGTAGGGTTTTTGTTGTTGTTGTTGTTGTTTTTGTTTTGTTTGGTTGGTTTTTTTACACTCTGTTGCTGCTTGGTGCGATGGAGGCTGGTGTCTGCCAGATGAGTTTGGTAGGATCTAGAATCACTTCATTAATTGAGAGGACAATTCTACATGAGGAAGTGCTGTGAAGAATTTCCACCAACTTGTGATGTGTATCTGCCACCTTCTGTAGGGGAATCTGCAGCTCATCTGCCACCCTCTTGGTAAGATCCAGAAAGTTCTTAAAATCTTCACCTAGTGATGAGGGGTGGGCAGCACAGCCTCATCTGGGAGAGATGAGGAGAAGTGTGCTGAAGGGGAAGCATCCTCTTCGGGTTCTTTTTTCCTGTTCCGAAAAAGCTCTCTCCTGCGCTGACTCAGGTGCTCTGGACAGCCAGGGTGTAGCAAACCATCTGGTGGATTCTCCCCGAGAGATACTGTGGATGATTGTGACATGTGTGTATGTCGCCCAAGAATTACAATATGGTCTTGGGGGGGAGAGGGAGGGAGGAAGGCAGGCATGGGCGGTGGCCTTACCTCAAGGGGCCCGTAGCATGATTGTAGGTTTGTTGATGGAATTGGGAGGACCCTTGTAGTGGACCATGATGAGCGGCCAGAGAAATGATTTCCTCCTGGCCGGCGTCAGATTCGTCAGGGTAAAGGTGGCGCTGACTGGGGTATTGGAAGCATACAGCCCGGTGTCAAGAGCGATTCTGGGTGCTGGGATGCGCTCGATACCGGGGTTCTGGTACCAAGTAATGGGGATTGTGGTTCTTCCCTAATCATCAGGTCTCCAGGGTACCAGAGCTCACGCAGTACCATGGGTTCATTTGGTACCACAGAGTGTCCGTGTTATGTTATCAGTACCGATAGTTGGGCAGAGCACTCCCTAAATGAGAGTTTTGCTGTGCCCAGTACAGAAAGTTTGTTGGTGCCACTATTTTAGAGATGGTACGGTAATTGTCCCTCCCTGGGTCCTGAGGCCACAGGTCTCCAGAGCATGTGTGTTACCATGGGCTCATGTGGTACCACAGAGGAGCGTGTGTAGCATGTTGTCAGTATCAATGGTTGGGACGGTGCAGAACACTTCCTAGATGAGAGTTCTGTTGCACCTGGTACCAAAGGGTTTCTCTGTGTCACTCTTTTAGAGATGGTATGGTAATTGTCCCCTCTCCTTAAGGGGCAGTAGGGATTCCAGCCTCAGAGCATGACTGCAGAAGCCCTCTCCAGGGACCAGAACCGTTCCACAGAGCAGAGCTCACAGCAAGAGGTCCATTTTCGGGTGCCTGCTTCAGAGCTGCTGGTATCTACCAAGGTGGCCGCTTTTACTCGGAACCATGTGTTTGGATCGGTGCCGAGATGGCCACACTGGCAAACGCCTCTGGCTGGCCAGTTGCTCAGAGGAGCTCTTTTTACAATCCTTTCCGGGGGGAGTCTGCTGGTGGCTTCTTTTTTTTTTTTTTTAATTATAATATCCCAAAGGAATAAAATAAAATCATCACTAGCCTAACTACTTTTAAGGAGAACAAAGGTAAAAAAACAAACACTACTTATGCTAATAACACAGATAAGGAAGGGAGGACTTCTCATTCTGTCTGAGGCCAAAAGCATAGAGAAGGAAGTGAGTTGGGTTCCCCCATGCAGTACTAAGAGGCAGACCAGAGGGAGGGAGGGCACATGTGCGGGCTCAATGGGACACTGTTACCAAAAATCTCTGATTACAGGCGCAGGGGCACACAGACATCTACAGTGGAGCACCCATAGGGATAATACTCAAAGAAGAAGAATAACTTCTGACTACTATCCAGTACAGGTCAGAGGCTCAAAGGCACCAGATCCCAGGGTAAACATGAGTAAGAACCTATGTAGTAACTCCTGGACCCTATTAGCTTCCAGGAACAAAAAGGAGACCTTAATTCGTAGCAGTACACCTCTTATGTGTACTGTCATTCCTTGTACAAAGGACAGAGGGTTAGGAGGTAGTCAAATCCTAGCAGTTAGAGGCCTACTCTGAATGCTGCTAATATGGCATTGTTATTATTTATAATAATTTGTATTACATAAGGGCTTTTAATAGCACACTGAATCCAAGTAAATATCTGAAATTTAGGATCATGAGAAGGTGGGGAAGGAGCTGGCTTAAAGTTAAAATGTTAATAAAGTTGTGGAATGCCATTTTAAATCCATCCCTGAGTTTGCATTTCATTCTCCTGAGTGTCATAACTGAACATCATTTTTTCCCGCTAGTATTTTTCCAAATTGGCAGTAGTGTATAATTTTGGCATTGTAGGTAGGAGTAATATAAGAAATATTTCCCAAGAAGTTTTACTGAAAAACATCTATAAACTTTCACATTTAGAAAAATCTTATGGAATATAAACATCAGCAAGCTAAAATTAGAATTTAAACACACACACACACCACCTCACCAGCTGAAACTCCAGCAATGCTCATATGTGCACACGAAATCATAAGGTAAGACCTCACAGAATCCCTCAATACTTACTTCTTAGTGTAAATTTCTAAATATAATAATGGGAGCAAACCATACTAACTGTTCTACAAGTAAATTAAGTGATATCCAGCAGTGGCTATGATCAGAATCATCTGACAGAATTCTTTTGAAGACATGACAAAACTTTGTTGAATGAAGGGCAGTGGATAATGGAATGGTTTTTACCTAGCTCTCACCAAGACATTCAATAAACTAATGCACTAGCAATTTAAATAAAATTAGAATGTTTTGAGTCAGTCCTATGAAACCAAGACACACAGAAAACCAGCTTAGGATACTATACTACCATATGGAAGTTATGGTCTAGTGTATGGAAGTTGCAAATAAATCATATCGTCCATGAGGCTGAAATAAATGGAGAGAGCAAGTATAAAACAAGAGAGATAATGACTCCACTGAATAAAGCTTAATGAGACCACTTTTGCAAAATGCAATATTGTACCCACATCGTTCACTTAAGAAAGAATACCTTAACAGTTTCAATCAAGTACAAAAAAAGCAGCAAGACTAATTTATGGGTATGGAGGAAGAGTTGTATGAAGAAAGGCATATCGAATTGACAAAGTTGTCTCTGGAGAGAAAAAAAGTTAGCTTCATTACAGTAGGTACTTATGGTACTTAAAGGGGACACCTAAAGGGACAGAGAAAATAGTTTATTTACACACTGGGAATAAGGATGTGACCGAGGAAATACTTAAGGCATAACACCATCACAGGATCTACCAACTAAGAAGAAGGGATTTTCATCAAAAACACAATGAATGGACTTGGCTGATCTTTAGTCCTTACCATCCATGCTTTTCTCTGTTTGTGTTTCTAACTTAAAAAAAATGTTCAAACTAATTGCATGTATGTTCTATAACTGAAGGCATCTTCTATTGAAAATAGTCTTAAAATGGTATCAGTGGAAACTATGCATACCAATAACTCATTTTCCCATAAAACACAGTTGGTCCTCTACCTATTAGCAGTACCTGTGCGTAAATATGATATTCTGCTAATGGTTGTGCATTTAACAGTATTAATATATCTCACAAACATGGAAAAAGATATGTACAAAAAATGTAAGCTAGTGTGACAGTTACTGAAAACTTATCATCTCTGATGACAAATACCTTTGACAAATCCCTGAAGTTGCTAGGAAGCGTAAGATCCAACTCTTCTGATTCATAGTTAGTGATAACCCAGGGGAATACGGGATACTGATTTAAGTCATTGTAAGTACGTCCTGGTGAAAACAGAAACACCACTTTATTTAAAGGCAATAGAGTTAAACAAAATACTGACCCTGAAGATATGATTTATTATATAATTTGATAACCACCACAAGAAATGCTTTTTTATTATAAATCTTTTACAATTGCAATGTCTGAATTTTCTTTGTTGAAAAGGATATGAAAAAGTTTTATTGGATTGCCAGTATTCCATTTTAAATATTGCAGTTCATTCAATTTTAATTGTCAACTCTCTTGCACGCTATAAAAAGTGACAGTTAAATGCATTCGGTTTTATATGTATCATTTTATTTTTTGGTTTTTGTACAGATCTATAATCTAATCTCCTAGGCTACTCTAAACTGAACTGACTATAGGAATAGAAAAGGCCAATGACCTTTGTGCATAGAAATAAAATGGCAGATTCTCCATTCCAGTTGTGCAACACTTGGGTGCACTGGAGAAGGAAGAGGTGCAGATCTTAGATTTTGAGCTGCATGACACTGGCACAAGATAAAGTCACATCCACCAACTTTCCATCATCAGAAAGTTCACATGAATAAAGGGAATTCTCCACTGACCATATGAACACTTAAAAACAGACTGGAAAATGTGGCCTGAAGTATTTAAGTTTCATTTCTACATTTGTGCTTAATTTAGTCCATCAGTTGAACTAAACTGGTGAAAACAAAATGTGCTACCAAAATTGTTTCTAGTTCTTTTTTTGATGGATACATTGCAAAGTTTTAGATATGATATTATGTTTATATATCATGAAAGTATAGTCTTTGCTTTTCATTGAATCATAAAAGTTAGATAATTCAAACCATCTTCCTGCCAATGTAAGATTCCTTCCAACAATACATTTTTTAGTGTTTTGTCCAGTCTTCTTTCAAAAGTCTCAAGTGACACGTTTCTACCACTTTCCCAGGGTGAGTATTTCACAGCCTAATCTATCTCATTGTCAGGAAATGGTTCCTAATACTCAGTCTAAATTTTCTTTTCTTGGTTTTATCCCATTACCCCAACAATAACACAAATACACCACATTACATATTCTTCCCAACGATATTTACACATTTAAATATGTATATAGCTCTATTTCCTTATTAATCATTCCCTTCAAAGTCCCTAGAAAATTATTTTTGTTCTTCTATGAACTCTCTCAACTTCGTTAATCTCTTTCTTGCAGAATGGGATGCTTCACACAATACCACCTCCAGGTTGCCTCGGGAAGGAGTAGGTGTACATTGGTCAGGATATTGGAGCTTCCAGAGCCCATTCTTATAGACAGGCACAGCCCGGTCCATAGCCAAGCTCCAGATTCAGGCCTTTTGCAATGCCACCTTGCCTGATGGGTGTAGGTGTGTGTTTAATAAACGTAAAGAGAGCCTTGCTACCCCAAACATGAATAGTTTAGCCTTCCCTTTGTTCATTATCTTTTTTACTCCTTCTAGGTTAAACAACAGGTATCACTACCTCACTTTGCTCTCTCGATATTTCATTACAACCCCTCTCCTCAGCAGTAAGGATTCTGGTGCAAGGAATCATTCACTGGATGCGAAAAATTTGTGTCATGGATCCCAAGCTAGTTTGCCTTAGGAAAGGGTTCAACTCATCTCATTTGGATGGGAAGCTTGCAATGAAATCAACTCAATCCTCTTATTTATAAAAGCTGCCAGCATCTTGGCATCTGTGAGGCAACGATTAATTAAGGACAGACTGATTTATGAAATGTGCTTTGTAGGAGTTGAGGTGTTTATTCCTAGCCATTATTTCCATACTATCTAGGTCTGGGGCTATGCTAGCAGGTTTTTCAGTGTAGCCTAAGCCACAAATAATGGCGATTGAGAATTGAGCAGTTTCATAATACTTTGAGAGCAAGATATTTGGGAAAATAATATTCCACATAGTTGTCCCAGCCTGTGTTCTTCTAATGATGTACTGTTCTTTTATCCCTGACAACTTACTTCAGCATAGTGTCTTGCATTAAGTCCTGGCTGGAATCTACTGGAATGAGATATACTAAATGAAGCATATACTAAGCGTAGGTAAGCAGTATTTCAGACACTAGAGCAGGGGTTAGATCAGCTCCCTGATTGAGGAATAAATCAACTGTGGGAGGAGATGATTGGCCTCCCAGGACTGCAGTGGTTGTGAACTTGGCAAACCCTTTCCAAATAACAATGACATTTATTGCCCATGGGAGCATTCAGTCTCTCCAACTGAGTGTTCATGATTCATCAACAAACAGGAGATTGCAGTCATGTTTAGACATTGGGATTAGGTGAGCCTGTTTTGTCATAGGTAGAGCTAGATAGTTTTGAGAGTATTGAAAAAAGAATGGTAATAGTAAAGAGGCCACTATCTCCTCCCTGCCCTTCCACTGCTGCCAGGACCTTCTGCACTTTCGGCTACCCTGTTCAAGTTGAGTTCAATGTAAACTTTTCTACCTCTGATTATAAAGAAAATGCATTTTAGGGGTACTTGGATCATCACTGAAATATTTTAATCTGAAAAAAAATATGATCTATAAGCTGCATGGGAAAAGGTCTATTTTTAGAAAGTTTACACATAGGAGTGAATCTAACAGTGAGTCATTATCCTCATGTTCTGAAGAGACTGTGCTACCAGTAACTGATCCACTAATATTTTCCTTTCTGAAGTAGAAAATTGAAGGAGTACATTACCAGCTATGGTGTTTAGAAACATCAGATATTCAAAGTTTGAAATTTCTCTGTGCTGCCACCGCTGGGTCATATTGGAAGCTTTGAAAATCTGGCGTGGACTAGCCAAAGAGATGCGTCTGGAAAACAAAATCTTTACAGTGAGAAAATAATATGAAACCTTTTAAGAAGGCTGGAATCCTCTCTTTTGTACCTATCTACTTTTATTGCAAAACAGAGGAACACTCTTTTTACTTCTGGATTTCATGGCTGTGAAACTTTGGAGAGGGATCATATAGAAATATGAATATTTGAGTGCCTAAATTCTTCTTATGGGAAGAATAAGTACACCTAAATTGTTATATCATATATAGCATATAGACTATTGTTCATATTTTAGTTTATGATTACTAGATGAGAACAGGCTTGGGGCTTGTCTACACGGCATATTAAAGAGCGCCAGAAGAGTATGATTTGTAAAGCCTTCTGATGTTAACATGAACTAGTTACCTTTTAGAGTACACCAGGAGGTTCTACACTGGGCAATTATAGCACAACACGTTAGAGAGCTTTACAAATCAGACCCCTCTAATACACTTTGTGTAAGGGGACTGTTGTCCCCTTATTAACATTAGTGGGGATGTTTTGGTTGGCTAGCTCCCAGTACTAAAAGGGGAAGGGTCAATGGGAAATCAGGACCCTGAGACTGACAATCCCCAGGTACAATGGGGAGAGGCCAAAGCTCCAGGTCAGCCTGAATGATAGGCCGGGCAGGCTAATCAGGGAGTCAGGAGGCCGGGGATGGGGGGGAGGGTGGGGAGGGTGGGGGAGTCCTGTCTTCCATGTAAGCTGAAATTGCTTGGGTCAGACAGAGTGGGGCCAAGCTAAGGAGAAAGCAGGGGCCCAAGCTGAACTGGGGAGCAGAGCTGTGCCAGATTCAGAGGGATCAGAAAAGCAGCCCAGAGAGAGTAGACTTGCCCTGGGAGGAGAGCTGAAGCAACCAGAGCCAGAGGGGCCAGAAAAGCAGCCCACAAAGCAGGTCAGTGCTGGGAGCAGAGTCACAGAAGCAGCCTGCAGAACAGACTTGTCCTGAGAGGAGAGCTGTGGCAACCAGAGCCAACAAAGCAGCACAGGGAGCTGGACGCAGAGCAGCAGCAGTGCTGAGACAGAGTAGTGGAGCTGGGGCTGGAGCAGTCCGGAGCCGGGTGCGGTGAGCAGCTGGAGAGAGTGAGGGGGGACCCTGGGCAGTGGGCCCAGCACAGGGAGACGCCTCAGCCAAGAGGCTCTGGAGGCCAGGCTTGGAGGGGGATCATAACCCCAACAGGGTGGGGGTGACATTGGGAAGAAGGGTCCTGCCACTTAGAAACTGAGAGCATGTGGCCACCACTGGAGCAAGTGTCCAACCCTCAGCACCCCTGCAGCACAGCCAGGGCCTGAGGAGGAGGCCTGGGACCTACAAGGAACAGACTGTGAACTGCCCTGACATTTCAGAGACACTGTTTGTAATGTTCCCTGCCACAGAGCGGGGTGATGTGTTTTCCTTTAACCTTTCACATTTTTCCTTATTCCTTTTTAAACTAATTGTTGATTAAATAAAATTGTATTTGATTTAAATCATACGTAATGATCAGTGGGTCAGGGAAGTGTCCAGTGCAGAGAGAGTATCCTGGAGTGGGGACACCCTAGCCCCATCTTAGGTGACCACAGCAAGGTTGGGGGTCAAGCCCCCCCAGGAATCTTGGGCCCAGCCTTGTTGGGTTACAAGGACTCTGCCAGACAGGAGAGTGGAAGGGGAGTCCTCGAGGGCAGGGAAGGCTCTTGGTAAAGGAAGTGGGAGCGAGGACTCAGATCCTTTCGCTAGCACACCTCCCTGGGGTAGTGCAGAAGCCAGGAAAGTTCCCCACAATAGTGAGACCATTCCCCCGCTTACATTTGCAAGGCAATTCTCCCTATAATGAAAACAGACCTTAAATCAGATGTAATTTACACTGAAAAATGCAACAACATGTAACTGTAGGCATGTTTTATCTTAATGGTTAAAGTGCTATGTTAGATTTGTCTGGTGAAGGTCCAGTTGGTATTTTGGAGATTTCTAAAGTTTATTTTCATGGTTTTATAACCTAAAGAGAACAAAGGACTAAAAATCATTTGACAGCTGGATATTTTCATGTGCCATGATCTGAATTCTTGTGAATGTTAAACACAAACCTCTATAGTTGTGCAAGCTCAACCAATCCAAGAGGTTGAAATGTGTTACATCTACATGATTTATAGAGGTGGTAGATTATTAAATAAGAAAATTATTATATGGCATTTTAAAAATTCACCTTAGAATAAAGCCATCTTTTGGTGTCTGTTTCTAAGTGCCTTGAGAACAAAAGACAACAATCAGATGAAGAAAGGACTTTTATTATAAAATCCACTCTCTTGAGATTTAAATGCTGAGCAACTTTGGGGATTTAGCCATAAATAACTCAAGCAATTAAACTATTGGAGTTTGATGCCAGATTTCTTGAAGTTTGAGAAAGAATAGAAAACTATTCCCTGGAAATTATAAATCAAGCAGAGAAGGGTTGATCCCGAAATTCCATAAGATTATTCTATTCATAATAAAAACATCTGCGAACTCCAGCAGTACATTATTTAAGAAGAATCTAGAATTAGCCTTTTCCAGTACCCATTAAACAGAATAACTGTGGCTCACGTATTTATTTGTGCTACTGATAAACTATTAACAATTTATATGTTATCAATATTGTTATAGTAAAAGTATTACATTTAAATTACAACTGCATATGCACTAATTGTACCTTTAAAGTGGACACATTACATTCAATTTTTCAAGCAGTAAAAACCAAATTCTTAATGAAATATCACAATTTAATTCCTAATTTTCCTTAAAGCATGACTGTATAACAGTTGTTACTGTTACAGATCAGATTCAACTGTTACAGATCAGATTTAAGAGACTGGAGGACCTTTTCTTATCACTGTGAAAACCATGTCCAAAATATTTATCACCACTTCATTTCTTCCCATTCATACATGAAACAGAACAAAACTACAGCATTCCTAAATTTGAAGAAAGAACAGTGATACAATTAATTCAATATTGCCATTTCTTAAGAAAATTCTTAGAAAGTCTTTTTTTTTTCTAAAGTTTACTCATTGAAAGTGATGGAGTAAAATAACTGATTATGACTAAATACACCTGTAAGCAGATGATGGAACCACTTACTTGGGGCCTAATCCAATTCCCATTTAATTGAATGGACAAGGGATCGTGCCCCTTTGTTTCATTCAGAACATTCTTGATAACCCAGGCCTAGCCCCTTCTAAAAGGTCAATTGGGCAGATTCTGGAGTAGTTTTAGGATGCAGACAAATAGCCTGAAATCACCAAATTCACTTCACCTGTAACCTAAGGTAAAGTTTGAACTTTGGCCTCCAGAGTTGCACCAAATGCAAGTGCACCAAATGACTACCTCAGTCTTTCTTCAACTCATCCACTGCTATACAGTTGCATAGTTTCCTACTGATGAGAAACTGCCATTTTCAGCTAGGCTGAGGTGTCGTGGAGAGTTGAAGGATGTCTCAGTCAACCTAACATAATTGAAAACTGCCACAAAAGCTAATCAATCCTCCAAGCAGATTCCTACATTTCACAGAGCTGACAAGCATAAAGGGAAAGTGACTGTGTCTTAGCCAGTGAGAGGGCAACTTTCTCCATAATGTGACAGAAATCCAAAGCCCTCAAAACTCATTCTCTCTGGTCATATGATTATATAATAAAGATGAGCTCCGCTCTGCCTTTGAAATTCTGCACTGAAAATTCTAAACTGAAAGAACTGTGTACAGAAGGTGGGTAGTTTTGTGTTTTTAAACCATTTAGTTAAAAAAAGGAAGATAATTAAGAAAAATCATACTGTAGCTTATATCTTTCATAGTAAAATACCTGGTCTGTGGTAGCCCAAAGCTAGTGCCAATGCCAACACGTGGTAGACAATTAACCACTTTTTTTACTGTTGCTGGGTCTGGGAAGTTGAACATAACAGCAACTGTGAACAAACAGAACAGTTAGAACATGACATTGTTTTCTGTCATTTACAGTAGGCTTCCTGGCCCAATAAAACAATGTTGAATTCATGAGTATAAGATACAGCATTAAATATCTTTTCCCATAATATACTGTAAGTCAAATTTTTTATACATCATGAGTTATTTCTTTTTAACTTTTAAAACTGCATTTTTAGAGCTACTTCTAGTTGTAAACACTAGCAGAAGTTTCAGCAAATGCTGTCTTATTAGCATTAACATGCTAATAAGAGCATACATTACCTATAGCAATTTTTTATTTGAATATAATTGAAGTTATATTTATTCATCTCTATTTCCAGATTCAGCTTGGAAAAAGAAAAAGCATACACAGTTTGTATAGTAAGTGCATCATACACAACTGTGACTTTTGCTGGGAATTTTTATTTTTTTAAGCTAATTTTCCACTTAAGTGGAATTACCAAAGAAATATTTAAAGATTTTCAACAGACATTCATTCTTTTTTTTTTTTTAAACCTCCTCAGGAAAACCTTCATCAGGAAATTGAATTCTTCTTTTCTGAGATATCACATGGAAATAAAAATTAAAAACTATGTGATCCTGTAATGAGATCATCAGAGGTGGACATTTATGCCCACATGGAGTCCCATTTATAGCCCCAATCCAGCAAAGCATTTTGCATATGCTCAATTTAGATCCAAAAAGGACTTGGAGGAAAAAAGCAGCTCTGGCCCAAACAAACTACATGAACAAGGCAGCAATCCATACTAATGTATTATTATATCTTAAGGTAGCACCAAGAGGCCAACCGAAAGCAGGTTCCATTGTGCCAGGCACCTTTTACACACTGAATCAGACAGAGTCCCTGTTTCAAAGAACTTAATCAAATCTTAATCTAAATTAAAAAAAAAAACAGATAGAGGGTAGGGGGAAATGATATAGCATCATATAACATCATGTTAGTGCCACAAATATTTTTTGTTATTTAAATAATTTAGGTGGGTTTCTGTTAGAATGGGACTAGCCAAACAGAAAGACAAAAGAAGGGAGAGAGGACATGAGGAGTAAGTGGATGAGAGGAGTTGGAGTAAACAGCCAAACAGCATAGGGGAGAGAATGTCGAGAGTGAAACCTACAGAATGCCATCTGTTGACATCATCAGTGTCCCATGGTCTTTACTTAAAATGTTTCTGTAGTTGTTCTATCAGTTTCAGTCTCTGGCTGACTACTCCCTGCAGTTTCTTTCTAAGGCCACACAGCTAGGGGATAGGAAGGTGCCTCATAGGTCCTAGATCCTCATTATCTGACCTTAAGGAACTACACCTCTAGGTGTCAGACAGTATAGATCAGTCTCCAAAATTTATTTCTTTACCTGTCTGCTTAGAATACCAAAAATGTTTCCACCTGTGTGATGGTAATTTTTGTGAGGTGAATGCAAGGTTGCCAGGAATTGGACAGACCAACTTATTTCACATAGATCAAATCGCCATCATATGGTATGGCACGGTACATGGATAGATTCATACTGCTGACTTTGAGATGTAAAGCTCCATATTCTAGTACTAAATCCTTGAACTATGCAGGACCCACAAAGTGTTAAGATTTCTGAAAGTCAGCTGCACAATTTATAGCTGATACTACAGATACTGTAAAATGATTGTGAAACAGCTTTAAGTATGGGATTCTCAGCCTGGAGGTTGTGACTCCTCATTAGGTGTTGGGGTGGTGACTGATTACCTACCTTACTCTTCCCATATTGCTAAACAGGATCAGGATCATGGCTGTGTGAATAATCAAATTTTTGGTTTGGTGGCCAAAATAAACAAACAAAAGTTTGCTTTGGGTTGACCCAAAATGGGGAAAAAAAAATCCCTTTTTCCAGAAAAATGTCAAAGCTAAAAATAATTTTGCTTTGGGATAAACAAAACCTTTAGTCTGACTAAATGTTTTCTTTTGTTTTTGAGGGTTTCTAAACTTTTTTTTTATGTTTATGAAAAATACAGAATTAATCACAAACAAAAATAGGGCTTTCAAATAAAACAATGAAATTCTAAAACAGAAAGGTCAAACCATTTTCATGTCAGAAAGACAAAATGAACCATTCTGACATTTCCAATTTCTTTTTTTAATTCAACCTAAACAACTCATTGAAATACATCAAGATTAGCAAATTGTTTTGGTTGAACTGCATCTGCATTTTTTGGCCAAAAAAATAGATTTGCACAAAAAATTTCACCCAACTCTAGTAATGGCTAGATTGGTGGAGAGGAGCACAGAGAAATAAGGGAGAATGGAAAGGTGGAGTATTTCGTTTGGAAAAAGTTGAGTACTTCTGGTACAAGGCATCAGAAATGGTAGTATAATTGGCAGAAGTCTTGAGGAAATCTTACTTGTCTACTAAACTACTGTTTCAATGCACTTTGCACAGGTAGGTATGACTGTCCCTTTATAAGAGCAAAACCAGATTTGAAATCAGCATTCAAATGCAGCATATGAAAACCAAATGTGTCACCCACGTGACTAGGTTTGGTCACACACTAAGAGATGATTTTTCTTTGGTTGAATATTGCTGGATTCAAAATTACTCAGGATAAAAATCAGGATATCACTGTGGACAATTCAGTCAAACCCTGTGCTCAATGCATAGTGACAGTTTCAAGAGAAAAAAATGTTAAGACATGAAGAATCAGTTACACCGGACCCTCACTAGAACGCATGTCTATATAGCACAAATTTGCACATAACACAGTCGCACCCATGGATCCCAAATTTAATTACTTTAATTGCGATTCATTTTAACACAGTCCCTGCTATAACACAGTCCCCGCGTTAACGCAGTACCGCGCCTGGATCCCAAATCCCGTGTTCTAGCGAGGGTCCGGTGTATATATTTCATCTGTATTCAGTTCTAGTCACCCCATCTCAAAAAAGGGAGCTGAAAATGAGGAGAGGGTGTCAGAGACTGGTGATGAAAATGATTAGAGGAATCAAGAGTTCTCTTTATGAAAAGAGGCTGAAAAGCTGGAACTATTGACTTCACAGAGGGGATGAATTAAACAGACATAAAAGAGGCATACAAAATAATGACTAGCTTAGAAAAATTCAATCACGTACTACTGTTTACCCTCCCTCATAACAGAAGGATAAGGAGACACGCAAAAAACAAATTTAAAACTGATAAAAGGATTTGGGTTTTTACACAATGAATAATTAACCTGTGAATCGGATTGCCACAACTGTCATTGAGGCCATGAGCTTGGTAGGATTTAGCAAAGGATTAGATATTTTTGTATACATGAGAAGAATATCCAGAGTTTCACTGAACATATTATTTGTTTTTATTTAAGACATTTAAATCTGGCAGATTATTCCATAATTGTCTATTCTGGGATTTCTTTGAAAACACCTGGAATTGACCACTGACAAAGACAGGATGTCAGACAATATTGGCCACTGGTCTCATTTAGTACTGCAGTTCTTATATTCCCTTGTCCTTAATACTGCATAACCAGCAACTGTTTTCCAACCACAAGAAAATAATAGTCTGTTTTAGTACAACAGATGAGAACACAGACATGCTTTAAGCAAAGTAAGTGTACAGAAAGTGCCAACTCAGCATTTGGACTGTAAATAGAAGCAAAAAACTTAATTGAAAAAAAAGTGAGTTATGATGTTTTACCCACAAGACTTCTCTCTGGAAAACTTTATACAGGAAAAAGTTATCCTTGAAATCTGAAGTATTTTTGTACACATAATTTCATTTTTTTAAATCAAAGACACAGCCTATATCCATTAAACAAAAACAGCAGCAAATTCTAGGCAACAAAAAGTGAAATAGAAACACATATGGTCAAACCAAAATTCTTCATCCCTCCATTCCAATCCCTTGCTACCTCTGTTTGCCATGAAGATCTCCAATGCTGTATTTTGCAGGAGATAGCGTCGGGAAAAAATTGACCGAATCTCTGTGAACAGCCATTTTCCATGGAGTCCCTCTGTATAAGCCAGAATCTAATAAAATAAAAAGGGCCAATAAGTATTCAGAAGCAGACAGGACATTACATTATAAACAAACTATCAATGTAGACACCATCACATTTTTTCCAAAAGTACATTTGATCCAGGAAATGTGGAGATTCTAAAAATAGTTAAATCTGCAACTCCAGTAATATTTAAGAGTAAACTAAAACAAAACCTTAATTCAATCACTACATCAATAATGCACTTTCAAATTTGTAAAATATGAGAACTATATTTATGCAACTGATTTAAAAGATGATTTATGCAACGATCAGACTTTTTGTAATTAGTATGTTAGAGGCCAGCCTTTCCAAAGTGCTCAGTAACCAACAGCTCCCAATGGAAAACTGGCCACTTCATTTAGGTGCCTAAATGGGAGCCACGCTCTTTGAAATGTCTGGCATCAATAGTGGGTGCCGAGCACTTCTGAAAATCTGCCCTTATTGTTTTTCAAGATCAAATTTTTGATGTGTTTTTTCCTAGCCAAGCAATTGTTAGAAATTGTATGAAATATGTTACATTTCAGGATTAAATGACAAAAATAGTAATTTTTATGGAGGGCATTCACTTTTGACATTGGATTGAACTACATTTTATTTTAGTGTTGTAACATATAAACAAGAAAAAATACCTTTTTTAAAAAAAATGACCTTAAAAATTGTTCCTTATGTTTATCGTTAAGGTAATATTCATTCATTCTGGAAGTATAAAGGTTCACTGTATAAGAGGTTAAGTATCATTTTGTCAGCTAAGGTTAAACACAAACCTGCAAATGAACTCGGCATAATCTCTCTATGGAGTAAGCGGTTGTCAAAGTAACTTGTTACAATTCCTGTCATCCCAGCTGACAGACACAGATGCTTAGTCAGCCTTCACAATTCAAACTAATCCTATCTTTAGTCCTCAACCACTTTGTTTCTTTGCTGCACCAGTTTTGCCTTTTCATTTCAAAGCTTAATTATGAAGGTGTTAAGGGACAACAAGACTGGCACTTCTCTGACCCAGTTTAACAAAGCATAAGCAACAAGAAAAACTGAATTTAGATTTGTCAGAATAATTTCAATTAACACAATTATGTCGGACTTAAATGCACTAAAGCAAGGAAGGTAAATTTAAAGCTGGTAGTTGGTGCCACCACAACTCTGCTTACGCAATATATTATGTTAAAATCACTTTTTAAGACCCTCTGCAAATATTTAAAAGTGTTAAGCCAAATTCAATGCAAAAATATGAGCAAAATGTCTAATGAAATTAGCGGTCTTCGGTGAGCACGTAAGGACAGAATTTGGCCACCTACCTGGATACATATGTATGTGTGCAAGTATTATTATTATTATTTATATTCCAGCAGTGTCTAGAGACCCCAACCATTGTATACAAACATAGCATATAACACAGTATCTGCCCTGAAGAGTTTACAACCTAACAAAATACAAGACAGGCACACAAAAAACAAACAAACTAATAAGCAACAGCTCAGAAGCACAGAACTTGCAAGGTACAATGTCTCCTGATGTTTCCTCTTCAACCAGCCTCCCCTCAGCTCACAATGAAAAAATCCCCCAAAATTGTTATTTTTAAATCAAATTCTTGAGAGGCACATGAAAGGTAACGGTGATCGGTAATGGTTCCAAACCATTTCTGAAATTGGAGATATAGCAGACTTGGGACCATGTTAACCCTTTTCTTCACCTCTCCCAGCTAACTGACAATGCTGTGTACCCAGGAAACACCATGTAAGGCTTTGTTCCATTACATGTATAACAAGTACCAATGAGAAAGTATGACAAAAAAGTAGCATTGGTTGAGGAGGCAAAGCAGTCAATCCTGAAAACCTTGTGAAGGCAAAGATCTCTTTTACTTTACTCAGATGAAACTTCCAATAATATTTTCAAATCGAGACCTATGTCTTCAGAGATCATATTTAGGAGGGGCCAACAGAGGTAGCAATTCACAAAATTGCTTAAGCAAGAAAAGTAAAAATAATTATGACAAGCAGCATTGCTGTATGCACACACATTTTAGAGTCAAACATCAATTACTCAGATATTATGAGTTAAAACAGAAATCTAAACAATTCAATCACATTAAAAGGCTAAATACTCTTTTTTCCCCCAACTGGAGTCACTTATGACAACATGTGTACAATTAAACCATCAAATGGGAAAGTTTCCAATACACCTAACGATGAAAAAAAATGGATTTAAAAAGCTAACTTACAAGCGTCAGAGATACTTTATATTAATGTCTTTCACAGTCATGACAAAGCTATTGAATCCTATGCCAGAAAGTTTATAATAAAAACTCAGACTCAACTACAGATACATTACGAGGCACCTCTGTAACAATTCTTTATTCATTACAAATAGTTATCAGGAGCAAGAAGCAGCTGAGGCCTAGCTGAGCAAGACCTTCATTTCTTGTTGGAATACTATCTGCCTGGTCTGTAGCTTCACTTCAAAGTCTCTGGAGTTCAATTAAAACTGGATTAGGTGGAAGCAGACCTTCTTTGGGACTTTCTGTTCTCTGAAACTCCACACATACTGACAGCACCCTAGACAAAGGTCTAGCCCTCCAATGAACCAGTTGCTATGGAAACTGCATCATTACCATTGCTCTGCAGTCATCACACCAACTCTAGTAGTTTGAAAGATACAGACAACACACTCTTCTTCAATGTTTGTTACTACATATGTCTTATGAAAACCTGGACCCTTCCTTTGTTCAATCATTTCCAGCCTCAGAACATTTGATTTTACCAATAACTCACATTTCAGAAATATGAAGTATTTACAGAAATCAGTAAAGCAAATATAAAAAAATAAAAAGTCAGAATTTGTATTCTATTAAAAAGGGAGCAAAAATGTTTCATCTGTCTTACTTTCTTTGAAATTTTTAATTTTATAATTATAACTTTTGAAAATTAAAGACGGTTTCCCTTAAAAAAACAACATATCTCTTTCACTCATATGCCAGATAACATAGCATTTTGTTAATGTAAAGAAAGTTTCTTTAATGTTGCACAATAACCTAAGTTTAAAAGACGATTATTACTGGTTCTAAGGTTTTTCATTCATTGCCAATAATTTTGGAGTAACTACTTCTAAAACAAAGAGAGGCTAATGTGACTGTGTATTCTAATTTAATCTTCACAAATGATATAATCTCCCACCTCAAGAAAAGAAATGGAGAACTATTTCTAGGATTTTACCCTTTAATGTCTTTAACGCATTAGAGTTTCAAAACAGACTGAATAGGCAATAAATATATTTTTATCAGACATTAAAGAAAGAGTACACAACTTAAATGAAAAGTTAAAAACGCTTATGCTAAGTGATGGATTACTCTAAAATTCCATGGTTACAAAAACATCCTGTGCAAGCTGATCCATATATAGGCTTTAGGGATACAATGTAAACAAATAGCATGACTATGATAAACACCACCAGTTTATGTTCACCTCAGTACAATACCCTCAAGTCATGTCAAACAATATAGACTAAGGCCCTGATCCTGAAATCATATCAATTTGGGTGGACCTTTGCACAGCCCTACTGAAGTCAATGATATTCTGCATGGGTGCAGGACACTACCAGAGAAACCGAAGACTGAAGAATAAAGGGCAATTAGCCCCTGACTTGAATTTACATTTTAGGCTCTGATTTTGTAATTACAATTGAATCTATATGTGCAAGTTTCACAGCAGTAAAGTGGCTGCCCCTACATTGTTCTGTCATCTTGCAACGTGAACACAAAAAGCCGTAAAACTAGCTTCCACCCCTCCCTGCCCCCAATAACTGCTTAAAAGATTAAGAACATAAGAATGGCCATACTAGGTCAGACCATCTAGCCCAATATCCTATCTTCCAACAGTGGCCAATGCCAGGTGCCTCAGAGGGAATGAACAGAATAGGTAATCATCAAGTGATGCACTCCCTGTCGCCCATTTCCACTTCTGGCAAACAGAGGCTAGGGACACCATCCCTGCCCATCCTGGCTAATAGCCATTGATGGACCTATCCTCCATGAATTTATCTATTTCTTTTTTTGAACCCTGTTATAATCTTGGCCTTCACAATATCCTCTGGCAAGGACTTCCACAGGCTGACTGTGCATTGTGTGAAGAAATACTTCCTTTTGTTTGTTTTAAACCTGCTGCCTATTAATTTCATTTGGTGACCCCTAGTTCTTAAGTTATGAGAAGGAGTAAATAACACTTCCTTATTTACTTTCTCCATACCAGTCATTATAGTATAGATGATCATCATCATAGCAGTCCAACAACAGTATCTCTCCATGTTATATTAAAACATGGGGTCATATTAAATGGTTACAATTTTAAAGATTACTATTATACTCCATAATAAAAAAATATTTTATTAAAGGTTAGAAGAACAACATTTTATTTTAAATTTTAAGCAAATCAATCAACTATTGTATACTCAGTTTTAGAATAAAGTATTATTGATCTTGAAAATGTGAATACTCTAGAGGTAATTAAGTCTGCAAATGGGTTATAGAACTGAAACAGTAATTGAATAATTACATCATTTTTATGTGCAAGGCAGCTTAAGTACCACAAGTAAAATAAAAACCAAATAACTGATTTCAACAGCTGCCTCATATTTTTATATTTTGTACTCCAAAATGAAATGTCTATTTGAAACCCATTCCTAAAATAGCCATATATTGTGTGCATTCAGAATAAAGACATATGTTTGCATTTCTGTTTATTCGTTTTCAATCAAAAGACAACCTATAGTAAATTATTGCTCTGACAAAACCAAAGTATGATGGTTATAGTAACCTTAATTTTTTTATGTCAAGTTTGTATAGAAAGTCATGAGCTTACAAGCAGCTAGATTTTTACAAAAACTGATGTATGATTTTCTGTGTAACTGGCTCTCGATCACAGTATTTAAGCTGTGTTAACAATATTAAATTCTGCATTTTCACATATACTCTATTTACACTACTTGTACACCAGTAAG